TATGTAGTAAAGTAAACCTTTGGCGTTCTCATTTATGTGTTGTAGTTTTTCTGGCCCTCAATACTATTGTTGCCCAGGTCTTGATAGCACTGGCTTGCAGGAGTGCTGAACCCAGTCACCCTAAAACAGCAGTATTGTCCTTGGGGAGCTCAGTGTGTTTCCTGAGCCTTAGTGGATGCCTAAATTGGTCAGGCAACCCACACTCCCACTCCCACCCCCTATGATTTCCCTGTTCTTCAGGCCCTTTTTTGGACTGGGGTGCTCGTAAGTGAGAGGGAAGGAGAGAAGAGGACTGGAGGGGAAGGACGGGGGTGTGAGTGACACAACAGATCGGGAGAGAGAGAGATGGACAGAGAGTGTGTTAGCGACACTGTAGCTTTCTTAATAAGGGCATGTCTGGAATGTCAGCCCTTCTCTCTCTGTAGGTCCATACCAGTGGTCTCCTCTACTCCTCATGATAACCGCTTTGGCTGTTTCTGAAGTCCAGTCGTGGCTTTTCTTGCATATTTGCCATATTATGGTTATTGTAGTCACTTGTTGGGATGGGATCCTAAACCGTTCTTTAACTAAAACTGTTGTAAATATTTCAGAGTTGGCACATCTTTGAATGAATGCTGACGTGAAAGTAAACCCAAAACAGTTAAAAATGGCTTAGCAGTGGTAAATCTCTTAAAAAAGCGTTTTTTTCTGTCTTGAGAATGTTGCAGTATCTTTGAATGAGTAGGACGGAGCGCTCACCAAATTCATGGCCACAAAAATGCTTTGTGGGCAGTTCTTATTAGTTTTTAAGATTCATTTTGCACATGACTTCACTAAAGAACGAAGGCCCTAATGGTAATTTCCTTAGGATGAATTCCAGCGTTTGTTTGTAGAGAAGTTATGGGCTGTTATTATAGATCACAAATAATAAATACTGTACATTTAAAGTTAAGAAGTTTGGAGTCAATGAGATAAAAAAAAAGTAAGAAATGAATACTTTTATTCAGCAAGGACACATTCAATTGATTAAAAGTGACGGTAAAGACATTTATATATTTATGTTACAAAATGTTTCACAATTTCCACAGAAATATGTAGCAGCACAACTGTTCTCAACATTGATAATAATAATAAAGGTTTCTTGAGCATCATGATTTTTAGAGGATCATGTGACCCTGAAGACTGGAGTAATGATGCTGAATATTCAGCTTTAATCCCAGGAATAATTTACATTTTAAAATGTATTCAAATAGAAAACAGTTACAGTATTTTGAAATGTCATAATGTTTATTAGTTTGTACTGTATTCTTGATCAAATATATGCAGCATTGGAGAGCATAAGAGACTTCACCAACCCCAAACGTTTGATCGGCGGTATAGCCTATACTGTAATTTGTTTATGTAGTGTATTGAAATGTTAATTTTGGGGTTGTAATCACAAGATTTTTTTGCTTTTTACATGTTTTGTTTGGTTTTTATAATACGGATTTTTTGAAAGCAGCTTTACAGTGATAATAGGAAATGAATGCAATAAAGATTGTTTTGGCTGGACAGCAGCTCTAGAAAAAAGTCATTTTCTAGCTTAAAGAGTTAGTTTGGTATCATTGTAAGCCCTCTTTTAAGATCGTTTCTGATGAAATGGAAGTCAAGTCAAAGTGCAAAGTTTTTGAAAACGTGTTTTGAAAGCGTTTCATCTTCGTGTAAACTTCAAAAACATGAATCTGTGAAAACCGTGATGGCATGCACTTTCTTATTACACATTATATAAATATAATTATTTCGGTGACTTTAATGCTTTGGCCGAGTTTGATTCATTTTTGCAAATCCATTTCTTTTATACTGAATTTTGTCAAGAAAAAAAAGGCTTTTTTTTTTACAATACGTTGATATGTCACTCAACCCTATTTTATTAAAAATATTTGAGAATAGACAGCTTCCATTATACTTGATTACTATTATATTGGTCAATGTTGCTCTGCCAGTCTTGTTTACACCAAGGAAATGTATCAGTGCCTTCAGTAGATTCTCTTGATTTTCAATACTAGTGCTATTAATACCTTCCAGCTCACGAAAGCTGTAAAGCACGTCCTTGAAAATCTGATATCTCGTCACCTGAACTTCACTTGACATCAGGAGTCTGAAAAATCTGGCGCCTTGCTCGGCAGCTCAGTGTGTTCCGACAGCCATTTTGTCTTTCCTGTCCAATTCTCCTCTTTCCCCCGTCGCATAATGGGATAAACTGATTGACAGGGCATATGCAAATGATTACATGATCCTGAAAGATTCTTTATTTGAAGTAGGGGTGGGAAAAGCTCCAGCTCCAAAGGGAGATTCATGGTCACACCATCTGGACTGATAGTAACTGTCAACCCTCCTATTGGTCTTGAGCTGTCTCAATTAATCAATTGTTGTAAGACAGTCTGGAATGGGCGGCTGATGATCCTCTAAAGTTGTCTGGGATACTTTTTACTTGTATTTGCTGACCTTGTATTCCTTCTTCCACTGATCAGAAAATGCGATATTTTTGAGGAGTCTTCATGTAGTCGTTTCCATACAACAACATTCATATATAATACAGCTTCTAAGCTCCTCATTGGTTAAAGAAAATACCAAAAAGGCCGCATATATAATCCATTTGACCCGTGTGCTATATATTTTTTTAAATCTTTTGCTGCCACACAATAGTTTTGGGTGAGAAGCAGATCATAATTTAGGTATTTATTCTCTGAAAACCTTCCCCTCCAGTGATCTGTTAATTCAAGGACAATTGTGACCGGTTCACTGAGTCAATAAGATGAATGATTCATTAGTTCATTCATACATTCCACAAACTGTTCAGTCGGATTTGTGACTCAGACAAACTGGTTATTCGACTGACTTGTTTCTAGAGAACTCAATGAGCTATTGATTAACAGATTCTCAGTGAATAAAAACATGTATTTCAGTCTGTTCACATGACTTTGCGAATGAGTTTTATGTTGCTTTTTTTTAATTTTTGGAGATTAAATTTGCAATGAAACGCAAGCAGTGACGGATCTTTTCGTACTGTGATGTACAGGCGAATGAAACGGGAGATAGCAGCTTATTTTAAAAAAGGGTCAAGATTTAAGTGGACTAAATGATTAGAAAATTCAGCAGAAAAGAGTTGTGACACTTTGCTTAAAATTAGTTCAAAGACTTTAAATTAAATTAATGCATCATTCACACTGAGAGGAATAACATTTAGAACATAGTGACTTTTCGATTTACAATTTCATGCGCAATGACCAAATTCTCATTTCACGATAACCATAACAATATAGTTTTTTTTTTTGTGTGTGTTATTTTATCTAAATTCTGTTATTAAAAGTAAGAAACAAAAAACCAAATTACAAACAATAGGACAAATATAAAAATATGAATTAAAATAATTTAGTTTTCAGGCAGGTTTATTTAACATGTAGTCAGAAGTAGTACATAAATGTAATAATCAAATGTAAAAATAAAATATTGCGTAGTCTCCAATTATTTTTATTAAAGCTAAAAAAAAGTTGTTCAGTCAAGAGCAGTAAGTTACTTTCTCTTTTGTTTGATTCACATTAATGACGCAGAGCATAAGGTTTATTAGGCTGCTGTCACTTACACGGATCCATTATACTGATACACATCCGGTTTACACACAAACTGTTTACTCTCAAGGCCAATTTATACTTCTGCATCAAGGGTACGCCGTAGTGTATGGCGTTGGCTACGCACGTAGGCGACGCCGTTGTGAGCATTTATACTTCTGCGTTCAGGTCTTGGTTGCTCTGCAGTACTGCTCCGAAACGCTAGTTGGCGGCGGAGGGTTTTAATGTTCCACTGTTTAGATTTCTCACGGCTAGGTTACTACAAGCAATAGCGGCTGAAAGAGAGCTGATCATTTTGGAGTTGGAGCTTATTGAGGTGGAAAAACAGTTCACTTTAGTGAAATTACTAAAACTGAAAGGCAGAAATTAGAGAAGACGTCGGAGGAGATGAAACGTGTGGAAATCATAGACAGTGGTGGAAATGCGTGAGAAGGTACGTGCGGAAATGCGTAGGAGGAAATGCGATGCTACCAAGCCGACCAATCACCGATCTTGCGGTCCGCGTCGTCGCAACGTTTAAGGCCAATTTATACTTCTGCGTAGGGTGCGCGCAGTAGGTACGCCGTAGCATACGCACAGACGCGTCCCATATCGCGTACCCTTCGCCGTCGCCTGACGCGCACCTCCTCAAAAATGTAACTACACGTCGCGACGACGCGGACCGCAAGATCGGTGATTGGTCGGCTTGGTAGCATCGCATTTCCTCCTACGCATTTCCGCACGTACCTTCTCACGCATTTCCACCACTGTCTATGATTTCCACACGTTTCATCTCCTCCGACGTCTTCTCTAATTTCTGCCTTTCAGTTTTAGTAATTTCACTAAAGTGAACTGTTTTTCCACCTCAATAAGCTCCAACTCCAACATGATCCGCTCTCTTTCAGTCGCTATTGCTTGTAGTAACCTAGCCGTGAGGAATCTAAACACAGTGGAACATTAAAACCCTCCGCCGCCAACTAGCGTTTTGGAGCAGTACTGCAGAGCAACCAAGACCTGAACGCAGAAGTATAAATGCTCATAACGGCATCGCCTACGTGCGTAGCCAACGCCGCACATTACGGCGTACAGAAGTATAAATTGGCCTTTAGTTACATTTTTGAAGAGGTGCACGTAAGGCGACGGCGAAGGGTACGCGGTATGGGACGCATCTGTGCGTATGCTACGGCGTACCTACTGCGCGCACCCAACGCAGAAGTATAAATTGGCCTTCACTTGAGACATAACCTGCTGTGTTTACATGAATACTCCACACGGTGGGCATTTTGACCTAATTGCGTGTATATTCAGCCTTTCAAGTGCAACAAGAAAGAGAACAGAGAAATTTCAAATAAACATTATGGGTGAACTATTCCTTTGAATGTGACTTCCTGTTTTAATAGCACCTCTCTCTCTCTCTCTCTCTCTCTCTCCTAGTCCTGGGTGTGAGGGCTCACGTAGGGGCCCAGGTGGAGCCGCCACCATTGCAGCCAACGAGTGGAGCGCCAACGAGAGCCCGGAGGAGGGGCAGGAGGATGGAGTGGATGGGATGGACAAGGCCGGGATGGAAGGGGATGCGGAGGGCGTCTGGAGCCCTGACATCGAACAAAGTTTTCAGGAGGCTCTGGCCATTTATCCACCCTGTGGCCGCAGAAAGATCATACTTTCAGACGAAGGAAAAATGTATGGTGAGTCTTGGAGAGCTAAATATCCCCCAGCGAGAGTCGCTTGCTTACTTTGTGCTCAGGACACTTTGCTGGCAAAGCATTAGAATGGGATCAGCTAATTATTGCAGCAGTGCTGTTGTTGGGAAAAAATGTAGTGGAACAAGGTACGAACAAACACGTCCAAGTCATGTTGTAGAAGTTTTGTTGAAGTGATTCAGAGGGTGAACTTATGACACTCCCCACCCCCAGATTTTCCCGTTCCCACACGGGATCCTCTGACAGGAATGCTGTGTCTCCCATTTAAGTCAGCATTCTCAGTAAAGCATGAGTCAGCCTCCTGACTCAAGTGTGACATTTTTTGTTTCATTACTGGCTGTATGATTCAGATATGAGCATAAACAGACTTGATCCCTTTCAGTTTCATCAACTTTTAAAAATACTTGATCATTTAAAGAGTGTAAATGACTGCATATCTACAGAGGTGTGTTTGGCTTCTACCAAGCACAGCTTTTCTAAAAGCAGGTCAGTTTGTAACTGTTTACAGGCCAACTATAGTTTGAGAAACCAAACATTATCAGTTACATATACATTTTTTAATTAGAAAAAATTTATGAAAATTATATAATTGTAAATGAGTCTGTGATTTACAGAAGTATGAAGTCACTTGCAAACCATTCAGTATTTTGTTGCCCGACGCAACCAAAATTGGTGTGGGAAAATATTTTGCGCTCATGCGATATTCACGTTTGGCTGCGAAAATGTGTCGAGCAATTACCACACCTTGAGATAATACTTGCCACGTTCGTGATATTACAAATCATTAGCACGAATACTCCGTAATTAGTAAGAACTGGGCCAGGATTAGACTATGTAACATCGATAAACTAAGCTTACCCCTAATCCTTTTGTTAAATGCTTGTGGAACGCATCAGGATTTAATATATGATTGTTGGCACAAATGAGCTCAGTTGGCTTTTGGCTGTTTTGACCTTTGACCCTCTCTGTAGAAAAGGCTTATGGAGACCGGCCCACATTCTTTTCTTTTTTCCCCTTGGCTTGAAGGGGACACACATTCCACAACTCCGTGGCCTTGTCCTCGGCTGTAACGCTCCACCCACGTCTGTCACACGAGCTCTAATCCCCCTCGCAACAGATGAGGAAGGTTTGTTTCAACAGCCATGCATTTTGTCCTTTTGTGGTAGCATGGGCTGTCAGGATCCGTTCGCTCTGTGTGTCCGCTTACGTTACCCCGCGGAGGCCCTTGGGCCCTCTCCCTTCTCTCCGTACGACAAGATCATCCCCTTCCACTCTCTTTACAAACAACCCTTTCTCGGACCAGTTACGTTACTCCTGCCAGGAGCCTGATGTCAATCTCCAAAAGCGAACCGCGTCTCCTGATATGCCCCCTCTCTCCACCACCCCCAGTGCACACAAGTTCATTGGCCACAATGTATACTTTGACTAGACAGCACCAAAATAGCCTGGCTATCTGATGCAGGCAGAAGAGAACTGGCCTAGTGACTTTGTGGATTTGGTTTTTGTGCGCGCAGAGTTTGCTGTAGACTAGATGTCTAAACGCTAGGCGCGTTCCAAAACTTTTATGTCGATAAAAAACTATTGCGAAATGACGGCGTTTCCATTTACCGATGTTATGTGTTTCCTCTCGCGATAAGTCATTCCAAAAGTCATGGCAACGGACGTTGGTAGGTTTATATCACAGCCACCGCACTAGATATTATTGTTATTGTTATTAATGGAAGGAGACGAGGTGTGTCATCCAAGCATTAATGGTAGGGAAAGATACAGAGTTCCTGGGTGTTTCTCCCTAATTTCTGCTCCGAGGTCTTGCTTGTGGCATTTCTTTGAGGTTTAGAGTCCAGTATTCATGTAATTGTTTCTTTTATGAATTGAATAAAGAACTCTGGCTCGTATTATGTCCAAACGGTCAGTGTAGGCTACTTGCATTCGTTTTCCCTTATTTAACCCGTAATTGCAAAACGAAAAATGAACGGATTTTGTATTTTTAAAACGCAAAGTTGAATACCAACATTTTAGTTTGACATGTACTAGGCCTACACCAAATGCTGCGCAAAAAAAAAAAAAAAAAAATATATATATATATATATATATATATGTCAGTTTAACGTGTTATTAACGGCGTTAACGCAAATCCATTTTAACGACGTTAATTTTTTTATCGTGTTTTTGTCCTAGCAAACTTTGTAGTTTTTCACATGCTTTTTGATTTTAGGGCATCCATTTCGGCGTCTCGCGCTCGTCATCCACTCAAAGCCGGCTCGCAAGCCCAAACATGTGTTTGCGGCGTGCCTGTTGTTTTGTTTACGGTCTAGATCCGCTTGCCCTTTGGTCGAAGAAGCAACAAAACCTCCTGTTTTGTGCCGCACACACTCGTTTCGGCTTGCGAGCCGGCCAAATAGTAACGTTACTTTTGAGTGGATGATGAGCGCGAGATGCCGAAATGGATGCCCTAAAATTCTGAATGGAAAGTTTACTTTTAAAAAGTTGCTATATTGTCCGATTGACAAGACCAAGTGATCTGTGTTTTGTCGTTGTGAACTGAGCTATCACCATCGCAGCTCGTCCAGTCTGAAACACCACTTGATGCTGGCCAAGCAAACACACACACACACACACAGATGATGCGAATTCTCTGGCCCCTCGCCAATATTAGGGCCTCGATAGTATTTCTTTCACCCTTTTATTGATAGACAGTGTTACATTGTGTGAGAGATTATTTATATATGTTAGTGTGAAATTGAACACTATTCCAATGTTATTTTTAATAATAATTTTTCCACTTTCCCATATTGATAAGAGCATTAAAATGAGAAAAAAATAATGTAACAAAAATAAATCAAGAGACATTTAGAATAGATAAAAATGTGCGATTAATCGCGAGCTAACTATGACATTAATGCGATTAATCGCGATTAAATATTTTAATCGTTTGACAGCACTAATATATATATATATATATATATATAGACAAATTTTCAGATATTTGTTTGACATTTTGCACCTTTATTAAACATTTAAAATATTCACAAATTAATATGTTAATAAATTATGTTAATATGTAATACATTTATGTGATAATCTTAGCGCTATTATTATTATTGTCCAACCTGAATGAAATGTGACGAGTTGCTTTGTGCCTTTTATGGATAAAAGCGTATTCTACATATGTAGCCTAATAAATGTTTTAATAATAATGATAATTATTATTATTATTTGCGGACACGGACCCAAAACACACCACGTCTTCTAAGTCAGGTGATTGTAAATGAGCAAAACCCGTTTCCATTGCAGTTTTGCGAAATATGCCTTTTTCGAATTGCCTGTAAAACCTCCTCATGGGACCGTTAAAACTTTTCTGCGATAAACGGGAGGTTTTGCGAAATTGACGTGTTTCCATCGAGCGTATTTTCATTTCGCAATTTCAATTTACACAATTTGAAGGGTAATGAAAACGCGGCTACTGTTTAGTTTTAAATCCGATTGAGAATATAGTTGGATCTAAGCATTCACATGCTTAAAAGTCAGCATGAAATGGAAAATACGACAGCCTTCCCTTTTGCACATGAAAAATGTAGGGCTGGACTTAATTTTGTCCATGTGGAATTGGTTGATTGGTTGTGGTTTGCTATTGGTTGATCTCATGTGAGAGACAGGTTGCTCCGCCCCCTCACATCATTAGAGAAGAGATGTTCCTGCAAGAGGGAGGGGAAGGTATTTTGATTTAAAGACAATGAGGGCTCATAAAGTCAAGTCAAGTCACATTTATTTATATAGCACTTTTCACAATACAGATTGTATCAAAGCAGCTTCACACTGATAACATGAAAGTAGCACAACACAGATCAACAACATTGCTAAACACTAAATAAGCCCAACTGAGCAAGCTCAAAGCAAGCCAAAAGCAAGGCGACAGTGGCAAGGAACCAAACTCCATCAGATTGGATGGAGAAAAAACCTTGGGAGAACCCAGGCTCAGTCAGGGGCCAGTTCTCCTCTGGCTTACATTCATATTGTTTAAATATAAATATTAAATATAAATATTGTTTATGAATCAAACGGCGCCATAACATATCGCAGGCGTTGAGTCGTCTCTTCACAGGCGTTGAGTCGTCTCATCACAGGCGTTGGGGCATCCGAAATCCCCGTGAGAGGCTGGACACAAAACTGGACCTGACGAACGCCATTTTTCTCGGGACAAGCGTCCCGAGATAACAGCAGAAAGGCAGATGGGAAATAATTAGCATAGCTGATGTTCATAATGATTTCCGTTATACCTCACAAACTCTCCGTAACCTGAACTCTCCGCAACCCAACCATACGCGCCGACCCGTTTGTCTAAAAGGCTGTCGAGCCCCACTGGTGCGTTAAGCAGTTTCAGTGGCAAACGGTTCCGTATGGCATAACAGAGGACTAGAAGGTAAGCATTATGTGAATGCTTGACTAAAGAGAAGCGTCTTTAATCTAGTTTTAAACTGTGTCCGCGAGTCAGAGGCTCGGACCGTATCGGGAAGGCCATTCCAGAGTTTTGGAGCTAAATGCGAGAACGCCCTCCCTCCTTTACTGGACTTCGATATCCTAGGAATGACCAGAAGCCTTGAATTTAGTGATCTTAAGGAACGCGGTGGATTGTAGGGTGAAAGAAGGTCCGTTAAGTACATAGGTGCTAAACCATTTAGGGCTTTATAGGTCAGTAGTAGTATTTTGTAGTTGATGCGGAACTTAATAGGTAACCAGTGTAGAGATGATAAAATCGGTGTTATATGATCATATTTTCTTGACCTAGTAAGAACTCTAGCAGCTGCATTTTGTACTAACTGTAGCTTGTTTATTGAGGATGCAGGACAACCAGCTAATAAAGCATTACAGTAATCTAGTCTCGAGGTCATGAATGCGTGAACTAATTTTTCAGCATCAGAAATAGATAGCATGTTACGCAGCTTAGCAATGTTTCTAAGGTGGAAAAAGGCTGTTCTTGTAACATT